ACAATAATGGCGCAGTTCTTGGTTCAGGCTTGTAGCAGTGATAATTTGAACCTGCAGTTTATTCTAAGTCTCTGGAGTGCATCCCCCACAATCCTTTGTGTAGAGCTTCCGTTTGCAGCAAAGTCCCTCCAGAGATAAGAAGCAGGATTGAAGACAAGATGGAGATGAGGCATAAGCCTTTTATAGTCTTTTCCAGGTGTAAGAACACCTCTTTGTCCTTACTGTGGAGAATTACAGCAAAATGGAGTCTGGAGTCACATGGGCAAGTCCCTGCATACTTTGCTGAGTTACAAGGCGTATTTGCCTTCTCTCAATGGGTCAGTTGTATAGCCGATGGTCCTTAATGGGCCATCAAGCAGGCTAGGCAGAGCTGACACCAACTTGTCTTGGATGTCACCCCCAGAAGCATAGCAGAATTTTGAAATACAGCCAGTATAGAGGCAATACTTATAACTTTAAATACAAAAATGACACATGCATACAGATAGCATAACCATAACCAGCAAACCATAACCTTGTCTTAGAGACCTTATTTGACCTCCTTTATACCAGATTGTTGCCACTACAGGACCTTGGTTGCAACAATGATCTATATGGTCCCAGATTATATCAATAACGTCACACCTACCTACTGTAAACTCTTTGGGGGCAGGGACCGGGTCTCATGACCTTCTAAAGAGCCTGGCATGTCGATGCTGTACTGACAACTTTCATGTGCCTTAGCAGCTGTGAGGGGAGGGCTGCCCACGGTGCAGAGGAAGGCTCAGAGTTCCCTTTCTGCTGCACTACGGGTGGTCTCGTCCTTTCAGAACCATTAGTTCAACAGAACCTAATCTGTGGGAAGCTCTGATCAGTGCCCTTGGCAGGTTTCTAAATACAACGAGAAGGGGCCAGTTTACTCCCCCCCCCCCCGACACACACAACACACCACCTTTTACATTAAAAGCAAAGCGCTTTACCTGCAGGCCATGTGTTTACTTAGCGCTCGTAGAGGGGGGGAGCAGAGAGAGGAGCAAGCCCTCGGTTGGGAGCCTGGGGGGAGGGGCTCAAGACAGAATCGTTATTGGGAAACTGGGGGAGGGGAGGGGTGGAGAGGAGACGAGGCAGAGGGAAAGGGGAAGCGGAACCAGGAGCGCAGAGGGAAAGGGGAAGCGGAACCAAGAGCTTGGGCCTGGCCAGCCTGGGGGAGGAGCAGCTCAAGTCATCTTTTACCAAGCTGCGTGTTTTGAGGCGGCTTGGGTTTGTTTTTGAAAGGCAGGGTTGCATATTTATCTCATGAGACTTGGCAACTTCATGTATATTTCAGTCCAGCAGCAAGCACACCACAACAAACACACACACTTTAGTGTTAGAAACGGCTCCCTGTAGGAATGTGCTACCTGGAGCAGTTACTGATCCGTAATGGATTGTAAGAAACTGCTATTGTAAAAAACTGCTATTGGATGAAGCACTTGCCTACAGGGAGCACTTTATCCCCTGCTCTCTTTCGTTGTCCCCTGCACTCATGGCAGGACAAAGTATTATCTAGACCAGGGTTCTCAAACTTTTTATTTCAGGACCACTTGAAAATTGCTGAGGGTCTTGGCAGACAACTTAATGATTCTTCCAAATGTTGTTTGTACCATTAGCTACTATTGTAAAGTGCTGTGGATAAACACGCTGTATTAAAAAACCCTTAATAATAATTAAAGTTTTTTTGTTCTACAAATAAAAGCACACAGCTCATATTTTAATATCAATAGTCTTCCATTTCTAATGCGATGGATGTGCCCTCTCTCCCCTGCCACGGCAGCCCCCAAGCTGAGGCTGGGAAGGAGAGGGGGTCTCTCCCCAAAGGCCGCAGCCCTGGAGCTGGGGAAAGTCACCTCTTACTCTGGCCACCGCAGCCCTGGACGTCCCAAATTCCCCCCACCCCCTCTTTTCACCCCATTGTCCCCTCCCACCTACCCCCTATTCCCTCCCGGGCCACCATCTCACCTTTCATGTGCATCTTCTCCAGGGTCCAGGTACCTAATTAGTGGAGTCACACCTGTATGAATCCACTAATTAGGTGGGTGGCTTTTCATTATCTCATGTATGGCAGCCCAGGCACGCACCTTAGAGGAAACTATCTGTGGACCACCTAAATAGAGCGTGTTCCGCGAACCACCATTTGAGAACCTCTGATCTAGACCATTCCTGACATGTGTTTGTCCAACCCGCTTTTAAAAATCTCCACTGATGGAGATTCCACAACCATCCTAGGCAATTTATTCCAGTGCTTACCACCCTGACAGTTAGGAAGTTTTTCCTAATGTCCAACTGTGACGGGTTGGATCACAGAAACTCCCCTGGGAGCTGCCAACTGATGTGCCAAGACTACTTCTGCCCCTTCTTTCCCTGCCAGCTTGAACTCCAGCACCCTGTCTTCGTAATAGAATATATGGAGACATACCTAGCTCATAGAACTGGAAGGGACCGCGAAAGGTCATCAAGTCCAGCCTCTCTTGTTGAGCCAGACATGCCAGTCTGCTCCAACACAGATCCAAGGTCTGAACCACGTGCCCCAAAGCTGCAGACTTAACTAAAAGCAACTTACAAAAGTGTTCCTGTCTTTAACACTCAGATGCCCAACTCCCAATGGGGTCCAAACCCCAAATAAATCCGTTTTACCCTGTATAAAGCTTATACAGGGTAAACTCATAAATTGTTCACCCTCTATAACATTGACAGAGAGATATGCACAGCTGTTTGCCCCCCCCCCCCAGGTATTAATACATACTCTGGGTTAATTAATAAGTAAAAAGTGATTTTATTAAATACAGAAAGTAGGATTTAAGTGGTTCCAAGTAGTAACAGACAGAACAAAGTGAATTACTAAGTAAAATAAAATAAAAGATGCAAATCTAAGCCTAATACAGTAATACAACTGAATACAGCTGAAATCTCACCCTCAGAGATGTTTCAATAAGTTCCTTTCACAGACTGGACGCCTTCCTAGTCTGGGCACAATCCTTTCCCCTGGTACAGCCCTTGTTCCAGCTCAAGTGGTAGCTAAGGAATTTCTCATGATGGCCGCCCCCTTTGTTCTGTTCCCCCCACTTATATATCTTTTGCATAAGGGGGGGAATCCTTTGTCCCTCTCTGGGTTCCCACCCCTCCTTCTCAATGGAAAAGCACCAGGTTAAAGATGGATTCCAGTTCAGGTGACATGATCACATGTCACTGTAAGACTTCATTACCCACTTGCCAGCACACACATATACAGGAAGACTTACAAGTAAAACACAGCCATCTGCAGTCAATTGTCCTGGTTGATGGGAGTCATCAAGATTCCAAACCACCATTAATAGCCCACAATTTGCATAATTACAAAAGGACCTCAGAGTTATGTTTCACATTTCTAGTTTCAGATACAAGAGTGATACATTTATACAAATAGGATGACCACACTCAGATTATCAGATACTTTACAAGAGACCTTTTACGTGAAGCATATTCCAGTTACATTATATTCACACTCATTAGCATATTTTTATAAAATCATATAGAGTGCAACGTCACACCAACCTAAACCTCCCTTACTGCAATTTAAGCCCATTGCTTCTTGTCCTATCCTCAGAGGTTAAGGAGAAAAATTCTTCTCCCTTCTCCTTGTAACAGCCTTTCATGTACTTTAAAACAGTTATCATGTTTCAGTCTTCCCTCATAGGTCATGTTTTCTAGACCTTTAATCATTTTTGTTGCTCTTCTCTGGACTTTCTCCAATTTGTCCACATCTTTCCTGAAATGTGATGCCCAGAACTGAACACAAAACTCCAGTTGAGGCCTAATCCACGCAGAGTAGAGAAGAATTACTTCTCGTGTCTTGCTTATGACACTCCTGCTAATACATCTCAGTATTATGTTCCCTTTTTTTGCAGCAGTGTTACACGGTTGACTCATATTTAGCTTGTGATCCACTATGACACCCCAGATCTCTTTCTGCAGTACTCCTTCCTAGGCAGTCATTTCCAATTTTGTGTGCGTGCAACTGATTGTTCCTTCCTAAATGGAGTACTTTGCACTTGCATTTCATACTATTTACTTCCGACCATTTCTCCAGATCATTTTGAATTTTAACCCTGTCCTCCAAAGCACTTGCAACCCCTCCCAGCTTGGTATCATCCGCATACTTTATAAGTGTGCTCTCTATGCCATTATCTAAATAATTGATGAAGATATTGTACAGAAACATATCCAGAACTGATCCCTGCAGGACCCCACTCGTTATACCCTTCCAGCCTGACTGTGAACCATTGATAACTACTCTCTGGGAATGGTTTTCCAACCAGTTTTGCACCTACCTTATTGTAGCTCCATCTAGGTTGCATTTCCCTGGTTTGATTCTAAGAAGGTCCATGTGACACAGTATCAAAAACTTTACTAAAGTCAAGATATATCACGTTGACCACTTCCCCCCATCCACAAGGCTTGTTACCCTGTCAAGGAAAGCTATCAGGTTGGTTTGACATGATTTGTTCTTGACAAATCCATGCTGACTGTTACTTATCACCTTATTTTCTTCTAGATGTTTGCAAACTGATTGCTTAATTATTTGCTCCATTATCTTTCTGAGTACACAAGTTAAGCTGACTGGTCTAATTCCCCGGCATGTAACGCTGACCCCTATGGAAGTGTCAGGGGGGCTCCACTGAAGTGAAAGGCCCCGTTTGTTCCTGATGCTCCATGGGCCTGATTCTCCCCCACTGCCCTGCACCTTGTGTCGTCCCTCACACATGTGCATAGCGGAGGGATGGGGGAGGAACAGTACCATGGTGCACAGGGAGCGGGGAACCAGGCCAGAGACGTGCAAACCCCACAGGACAGTGACCCAGAAATGAGCTGGGCAGGCCATATAACAACAGGAAATTAGAGGGAAGAGAAACTGCTGACAAAGGGCAGAAACTATCTGAACTGGAGACAAGAGGATCAGGAGTGTAGTGGGAAGCGGGTGTGAGTAAGTAGCTGTATAAAGGCAGCAAACCCCCACTGTCACGTCCTCCCCTGCGCCAAGAGTCGGTAAGCGGCTGTTTTAGCTGAGTGGGAGACCCAGACCCCCAGATATTAGGAGCGGGAAGGCAGACCTGGGTCGGGGGGTGGATAAGGTTTTGGGCAGTCAGGGTACAGGTAGGAGGTAGGGTCCTGGGGGGGCAGTTAGGGTGTGGGAGGGGTCTTAGGAGGGGGCAGTTAGGGGACAAGGAGCGGGGGGAGAGTTGGGGGCTCTGAGGGGGGCAGAAAGTGGGAGGGGCAGGGGCGGGGCTAGGACAGGGCAGGGGCGGGGCTAGGGCGGGGCTCCTCCCATCCTCTTTTTTGCTTGCTGAAATATTGTAACCCTACCTTAGTCTGGGGAGCGGGGGTTGCTTCGGACTCTGAGCACAGAGGCTCCTGTGTGGGGGGCAGGGAGGAGATTTAGAGTTTCTGTTCTACATCTGATCTCTTTGCTGCTCTGCCCTCATGTAACTGCACTTGGAGCTAGAGAAGGAGCCTGAGAGAACCCAGTGGGTCTGTCCCTGCCTGGCTCCCCTCGGGGTCTCCCAGGGACTCTTCTGTTGAATGCTGTGAGCCTGGTTGTATTGTAGCTGCAAATAGAAAAACCGAACCCCTTGTTTCTCCGACTCAGAGCACCTGGGAATCGCAATAGATATTTGCTGACAGCGGCTCAGGCGCGGATACGGTTAATGAGTCTGCTCCCCAGAAGCACTCATGGCTTTGTCTCTTTCAGGCCCTGGGTCTAACACGCTCAGGAAACGAGCTTCCTGTCAAGTCCTAGTCCCAGCTTCCTTCACAGTTTTGATCATCATCATCGTTACTCTAGCAGCACTTTTAGCAGGTAAGTGCTTGGTCCACCCAGTCTCTGCTCCCCTGGACTGTCTGTGGGGAGGCAGGGACGCTACTAACCAGTGACTCCAGTGGGTCTAGAATTGCTTGTCCTGGCTTCCCTGTTAGTGACTCAATAACCCTCCCTACCTCTGAGAATTCACCGACTGCACGGGCCCTTCAGATGTATCCTGGGTGTTAGGCCTGACTGACCGCACCGCTGCTCCTTCCCTGAAAGGGTTAAACTTCAGCAGGCTTTCCCAGGAGTTGGTGACCTGGTCCCTGCTGCTGCACTGGGGGGAGGAGGCGGGGGTGGGGTTTCCAAAAGGAGGCTGCGGGAGTTGGTGCCCATTGAAATCCCCTGGGAGCCTGTGACAGACTCGCTGGCTTGAGGCTGCTGGGGAAATCCCAGCTGAACTGTCTCTGGACAGGGTGACTTTGGCATTGACCTTTTTAACCCAGCTCAGCCCAGTCAGTGGTCCCCAAACTGTCTCAATCACATCCCCCCCTTACCCAGTCCATGCCCCCCCCCCCCAGCAGCCAGGGCCAGGGGTGAGTGGGGCAGGATGGAGGAGGGGGAGCCAGAGTAAGGGGGTGAGTGTGTTGTTCCACAAACTTATACAGGATTGTTTTAGGGGTCAAGACAAAGATGCCACATTTATTATTAATCTGTAACTATTAGCAAATACCTTAATGCTTACACACACCCACACACACCCTTCCTGCTGGATAGTTACCAGTCCTGATTGTAGTTTGAGTTCGCAGCTTGGGATCCTAGCTCGTGGCAGCTAACTGGCCAGGAAAGCTGAGCGCGAGGAGGAGCTGGGTCTCTGTCGGGCGCGCACCGATGCTCCTTGATGTTGATAGCAGAACGTTACCCAAAATCTCTCATCTCACCCTTCCTTTTTTATAGGAGTTTAGTTTGGATTCAAAGTCTCTAGGTCTCGCTGTGTCACTCGGCCTCTGGGTTTAGTGCTTGATCACCTGTCAATTGCAGGCGTGACTGTCAGCCTGGGACCTGGCTTTGATCTTCCTTCTGTTGTTTTTTCTTTTTAAGGTGGATGCTTCTTGCTTGAGTTAGGGCTGTTGTCTAGTTCTTCAGCTGTTGGTATTTGAACTTTATCTCATCAGGACGGGCTGGTGCTGGAGGTTGATTCTATCACCCATACATCCCTCATTCACACATCTTAACTAGACTAATAAAATTACAGCAGGGTTTGCAAAAATGAAGGTTGCAGCAAGCCCTTACAAAATGGAGTAAGCGTTTTAAAATGGGGTTTGAATTACAATATGGCACAGAAGTTACAATGTAGGCAAAATGGCAAGTGTAATGAAATGGAGAACAGAATAACTAAAAACAATTTCATTCACATTGGTTCTACATTGTCCCCCTTTTGACCCTTCAATCCAGGGGCATTGAATGGGTGACACTTTATGCAATTGTTTTAAGGCTATATATTGGGAAACAATGTGAGCTTGTGGTTTTAGCTTAAAGTACAGCCTTTTAACCTGGGTCCGTGTGGCTTCAGTTAATTGGCTAATTTGTTTATTTTTTGGTATTAGTTTGTACAGATTTGTTTCATTGACTTCCAAAGTGAAGTTAAAGTTTAGAATATTACTGGTATTTAGTGTGTTAGTTTTTTTATTTTTATGAGTTGGGCAGTAATCGGTTAGGGTGGGAGTTTTAACATAGTTCTATTACACATACACTGTTTTACGGGCGGTTTTGAGATGTATTTTGTTTTGCCATACAAGCCTTTTTAATTTAATGGCATAGGCACAACTTTTTTTTATTAAAATACACTTTTGTGGTACCGTTATTTAGTTTATTTCAGTAACAAGTTGCCAAGCTTTTATGTTGTAAGGAGCAGGGCTCTTCTAATTTTGGTAAGGTGGGACATACCCATTGTTGTGCAGTTCGCCTGGAATACAAGCAATGGTTTATGATTTTTCCGTGTTTATTTAAATACACTCCCACCAATTGAGGAGCCCAAAGATGTTTGCCCTGAAGAACTGGGAGGGCTATGAAGGGCCAGAGTAACTTTAGATTTGTGTGGTTGGACCCATATTACTTGTATAGTGATGTGTTCCATGAGGGTTGATGTGTACACGTTTGATTTCAGGGCCTTGTACCATTCAGAAACATAAGGGAGGAAAAGGTTATTTTTATGTTTTGTTAGCAGAGGAGTTAAGACTGTCATATCTTTAGCTTGTACCCAGTTCATTTTCCTTTTTTGTTAGCATAATAGCTAATATTTGTTGTTTACAACACCACAATGCTAATGCTGTTTTGTTCGTTATGTCCCTCATGGTGGCATATTGAGCCCAGAACGCCTGGTTAACATGTTTTTAAGTATGCGGGGTGAGTGGGGCAGGATGGAGGAGGGGGAGCCAGAGTAGGGGGGTGAGTGGGGCAGGACTGGGGAGCTGCTGGTACCTCTCTTTGGAGCCTTTTCCGAGTGCTCCTCCAGGCTCTTCCCGCCCCACATGGTGGAAGATAGTTACTGCGGGTAACCAGACTTTTACTGGGAATGGCTGAGCCATTACAAACATTGAATCTATCTCCCCTTGTAAGTATTCTCACACTTCTTATCAAACTGTCTGTACTGGGCTAGCTTGATTATCACTTCAAAAGTTTTTTTCCCTTACTTAATTGGCCTCTCAGAGTTGGTAAGACAACTCCCACCTGTTCATGCTCTCTCTATGTGTGTGTATATATATGTTCCACTCTATATGCATCCGAAGAAGTGGGCTGTAGTCCACAAAAGCTTATGCTCTAATAAATTTGTTAGTCTCTAAGGTCCACAAGTACTCCTGTTCTTTTTGAGGACTTTTACTCTCCGGGCAGCTGGGACTGGGGGCAGAGCAAAGCTGGGTGAAGCTCCCTCCCTGCCCCCAGGGGACTGACCCTTGTGCCTATACACAAATGCAAGAAGCCTGGGAAACAAGCAGGGAGAACTGGAAGTCCTGGCACAGTCAGGGAA